ACGTGGATTGCGCATGTGGCAAGACAAGGTGGGAACATTATGATGCACGTGTGGCGAAACAAGGCGGGCACTTATTATGTTATTATTTGCACACGTGGCGAGACAAAGTGGGCTAGGTCAGGGATTGATTGTGATGATTTGTGATGGCCTGGGGGCATTCTTTCTGTTTGATATTGTGTTGTGGTATGCTTACCCGTATAAGTTTTATCTCGTGGAAGTTGTGAGAAAACATCTTACGTGCCATCCGTTCTTTTCCTTATGCAGCTGGTAGGAACTATGTTAAAGCACTTGCACAAGCATACACGTAGTTGAACACTCCCATTGGATATGATGTCCTCCTGATATTGCTGAGTATAGATGTACACCCTCGTCTACTTGTCATATATGTGGGAGTAGCACTAGTTAGAAGTGAGTTATCAACGTGACCATGAGTTGTGATGGGGGCACAGGATGCCAAGTGTTAGGGTTCAGGTATTGGTACCCGTGAGCTGTAAGTTGTCCGAGGTTCGGTATTTCATGGAGTTTGTTGGCTAAGACTTGATGTGAACACTGTCGTAGGTTCTGAGTTATTACTTACCTTTACTGTATTTGTGATTTAGGGTTTGGGTTTGTGATTTCACTCGCTCTTCTATGTCATTATTATGGTATTTCCGCTGTTACTTGCTATTTTTCTTCCCTTACTGTGATTGTTGTATTGTTAGCCATAGTGTGTAGTCTTTATATGTATACACCATGTTCCGTTGTTCCATGCTTATATTTGTATAGTTTATTAGACCGGTAGGTGTCTTGACTGTTCCTCGTCACTACTCCACCGAGGTTAGTCTTGATACTTACTGGGCATCACTGTGGAGACTCAAGGTAAACCTGCTACTGCGTTTGCAGGCTTCGGAGTCACCTTCTTACTTGTACTCAACTATTTTCACTCATTTCCAAACAGTTTATATAGAAGTGGTAGCTAACTCTGTATAGCTTATGACTTGTACTACCGGGTTTTGGGAATATGCTCATTATATAAAGGATTCATTCCAGAAAAATTTTAAGATGTTATTATTATTGTTATTCTTCTGTAAATATTAGTCTTACCTAGTCCTTAAGACTAGGTGCCATCAACAAACCCAATAGAGGGAAAATCGGGTCATGACAAGTTGGTATCAGAGCTCTAGGTTCATAGGTGCGACGAGTCATAAGCAGGTTTAGTAGAGTCTTACGGATCGGTACGGAGACGTCTGTTCTTATTTTCGAGAGGCTACAAAACTATTAGGATAATCTCACTTCTTTCATTCCTTATCGTGCGATATTTATTCAGCTTGAAGTATATAACTTATGTTCCTCTACATCCACTCGTGTATGATATTATGCTCTTTGTGTCCGCTATGCGTCAGTGGTTCGTGATGCTACAGACGGGCTATGAAAGAGTCAGGAATGCTCAGGCATTGTCTCAACGTGTCGTCCAGACTGAAGATACAGAGGTATTGAGAGACTATTCAATTGTTCAAATGGAGGCGCGGCGGTTTCCGACATTTGGTTGATGAGTGCGAGCTTGGGAAGGTTTAATTGGTTGACTAGTCATCGCGTTTATGGCAAGGTCACGAGGTGGGTGTTGATTGGGGATAGTTAGTTGTACTGGATTATCTTGTGATTTGTGTTGTACGAGCTATGAAGGTTAGTTTTGCGGATCATCAGACGTTGTTTACTATGGTTTCGCACCAAGTGGAGGAGTCCATCAGTGACATTAAGATTGCAGAGTCAGACTTACATCAGTTTTGGCCTGAGTATTTCTACGTCATTAATGGATCTACATTCCAGCATCAAGGGGAGTCAGAGGAACAACTTCAGATTTACAGAAAGACTATTCAGCGTAGGTATCGTGGTTGCAGCAGAACGGGGTGCTTCAGAGGAAATGCGGTGGTTTATGAGCTTCTGGCTACGTGGTTCGTGTTAGGATCATCTATATTTGGGACTTTGATCAAGATTATTGCATATCGACTATCCGAAGAAAATGGGTCAGCCCTATGGTATTGGGTCAGCATAGCGATAAAGTAATTGGTCCTTGAAATAGGAATTCTCTACTGGCATTTGTGGCAGCACTCTTGGATTGGACGGTTTGTGTGACTCGGTTGAGTTGAGAAGGTGCGGACCTGATGGCCTAGTTGCGTGCGGGCGGATCTCGGAGGGTTCTCGATGGTTTGGCAACGGCTTGAGTTGGCTGTCTACTATGGGCATAAGGAATATGTGGTATATTGTAGCTTTCCCCTGAATAGGTATCAGAAATTAATAGAGAGTTGACCTTGTTGGCTATCATATGTGAAGAATGTGCATTTTTGGAGAGGACCTTGAGTTTTGGTTTGCGGGTGTGTGGCTAGTAGCATGGTGATTACTGAGTTTTGAGGCTTTAGAGGTTCTTGTTTTGTTACGCGGCCAGAAATCCTATATGGGTGCTTCAGCAGAATGATAGGGTGTGAGTGATATATCAGCCATGTGATTTGCGTAGTTGAGTTGGGTATGGAAATTTTGGTATTCCTGAGGTTGGGGCTAAATGCCATTATATATGGACTATTTCCTGTTTGCGGATTTTGAAGAAATGTTGAGAATGGGATGATTAATAGTACAAGATGTATTTTGAAGAAAGAGATTGCAACTAGGAGCGAGCACTAAAGCTATAATAGTACAAGATGTATTTAATCTAACAAAAGAAGTTCCTAATTTGTTTGCTCCAACTGCTTTCAAAGCAAACAAAGGAGAAACTACTAAATATACAAAAATATCATTTCAATTGTTTGTCATATAATAATCTAATCAAAATCTACTGAAAGTATCCATAAGGTATTTGAGTAGAGCGACTGCTTATAAAAGAGTACTGATTTAACTCCATAGGCTGCATTCTTGAACTTGAACCAATAATACCATTATTCACCAACCAATCTTCTGCCTCAATCTTCATATAATCTAAATTTCCAAATTCATAATCACCAACATTAAGATCAACATTATCCAAAATTCTCATTGAATTCACTTTATCAGCTGTCAACTCTTGAAAAAACTGGTTATCCATATAAGAAATAGGCTGTGGATTACTTTGGTTGAAATTGTCCATTAATTCAGGATAGTCCCAAATTTCTTGATTTGAATCTTGATTAATATTCCTATAACTTTTCAAGAATTCAGATTTTTCCTTTGCATTCTCCATCTTTTTCTCAAGAACCCCAGCAAGATTTCTTAATTCTTTTTCAGATAAATAGTTGAATCTTGAATCCCAAGTTGGGTATTTTTCTGTCTTGATTTTTGTCTTCAACTTTGCCATTTTAATCTCAGCCTTTTTCTTTTCATTTTCCAAGAAGCTACACAAACTGTTTTCTCTTTTATTCCTGTCTTCAATTGGTTGGTTTTTGTAGAGATTTATTAGCTCTTGAACTTCGTTTGGATCATTTGGCCAAATTTCTTCATAATTATTTCCTTCAGATATTATCATGCATGCTTTGATATCACAAAGTATTGAAATCTCTGAGATTTTCTTGATTAAGCAAGCTTTCCTTTTTTGGAAAGTGGAGTTCCTTTTCTTGTGATCTTGAATAAGTTCCATCTTGATTTTTGATCTTCCCATTTTAATTTGCCTGTTCAACAAAACATAAATATAATTAAATAGAAGAAAAAAACAGATAACATAATGAAGTTTCTGAAAGTAACCTTGATTTTCTGCTGAGTATAGTAAAAAGAAAAAAACAGAGTCGGTAATATTTCCTAACAGCTAGAAAATCAAGAAAAGAAAATCGGTAATGAGAATTCTTTTAAAAAGGGCATCAAATTTTTGAATTTCTTTCTTTAAAACTAGAAACAAAATTTTGGCTAAAATTGTCTCTTTACTAGTAAAGCACCAAAAAGTAAATTAACAAAGGCTTTTATATCATATATTTTCTACATTTTTGTGAAGATTGGTTGCTGCTTTCTGGTAATTATAAATATTAGAATTCACAAAAATCAGCAATGATTAAATTTTCAGCACAATGAATTAGTACTTTATTCCTTAATATTAGAATTTAAAGAAATAATCTCCAATTAATCCAAAATACATGAACTTCATTGGGGGAAAAAACACAATAGAATTTAAAGAAGAATTCTGCCATAATAAAATACAAACAACAATTAAAAATATGAAACGTGAAAAAGAAAAGAAAGAAAGTTACCTGTTAATGTGTGAAAGCAAAGTACCCCCCCAAAAAAAAAGAAATACTTCAAGTCAAAACGGCCAAATTAGCAATATGTTTTCTGAGAGTACGATTGCCATAATTATATATAAGAGTTTGACGCGTTTTTGTTTTCAGAAACTATACTTAATTATTTTTCTTGTCCCTTTTCCAATTGGAGAGATTATAGGAAACTAGGAATATTTGTCCTTTCACCACTCTTCTTAGACCGTTTTTATGGAGTAGTAATAACTCAGATTATAAAAACATTAGTTTTATTTTTGACTATATAATAAAAAATTCAACTCTTTAGCATCACAACGATTTTTTTTTAAAATATTTATCTGCAGAAAAGATATAAACCGACTGTGAACGGGAGAACACATGCTCGGAAAAAGAAGAATTAGTTGCCCTGTCCAGTAGAAAAATTGTAGTTAAAGTGTTTAGTTGTAACTGGATTGTAGTAAAGTTGTAGACAAATTGTTTATTAAGAACAAGTCAGTTGCAATTTATTTGTAGCAGATTTGTGCTACAGCTGTTTTACCTTTTGTTTTGTTATTTTGTCCAAAATTCTACTACTTAGAATAGAAAACATCAGTGGCTTTTTTTGGTTGAAAGTTTTTAGTCCTTGATCTCGAAATTGGTACTATTATAATTTCTTTACAGCTTAACTACAATTATGTCTACAACTATTATACAAAAATACATAATCTATTCAATTTAAGCATTGTTATTAGGAAAGGCTGAAAAGGAATAAATAAATACAGTATTTGAACAAAATAACCATAAACCAATTGCATTAAGAGTTGAAATCTGTTTATCAAACATCCATTAAAGCAGGTTGTGATGACCCGAAAGGTCATCTTATGTTTTAGAACTCAATTCTGCGCTTTTAAGCCTTAAAAATCTCATTTTTACCCTCCTCAATTTGCATGCGTAGTCCGGGGGTGTTTCCAGAAAGCTTTTATGTTAAAAGTTGATAAAAATAAGAAATTTTTCCTAAAAACTTCATTTGAGTTGACTTCGGTCAACATTTTTGGTAAAGGACCCAGATTCGTATTTTGATGGTCCCGGTGGATCCGTATCACAATTTAGGACTCAGACGTATGCCCGAAATCAAAATCGGAAGTCCCTAGCCCGAGATATCGGACTTTGTCGAAATTCGATAGTTAAAGGCTAAATGCATTTGAAATGTTTGACCAATGTTTGACTTTTTGGATAACGGGTCCGTATTTTAGTTTCAAAATTCGGTATAGGTCCTATATCACATTTATGACTTTTCTGTGAAATTTGGTGAGAAATGGAGTTGGTTTGACGTGATTCGGACATCCGTTTGAGAAATTAGAAGTTTCAAAGTTTTCTTGAAAATTCATTTTATTTGGTGCTAAACTTGTAGTTCTAGGTGCTATTTTGGAGATGTGATCGCGGCGAGCAAGTTCGTATGATGTTTTTAGACTAGTGTGCACTTTTGGTTTAGAGCCCCGAGGTCTCGGGTGAGTTTCAGATAGGCTACGGAGTGAAATTGGGCTTAGAGAATATTGCTGGTGTATATGATCTTGGTGTAGGCCTCTGATCTCGCATTGCAACATCAGGCATTGCATATGCGACCTCTGAGGGGTTCGCATTTGTGAGCTTCTCGTCGCAAATGCAAAGAGAAGCTGGGCCAATAGTTTTCGCATTTGCGAGTGGAGTCTGGGAAGGGCAGTGATCGAAAATGCGATCATTGAGTCACATTTGCGGAGATTCAAGTTCGCATTTGCGACCTTATCTTCACATTTGCGAAGGCAGTAGAAATGTGGGAGGTTCGCATTTGCGAAGCTTTTCTCGCATTTGCGGGCTTCGCATTTGCGGGCTTCGCATTTGCGAAGCCCAGGTCGCATTTGCGACATCTGCAGCTGGTAAAACTTGACTTAGACGGGATGTTTGCTCATTTTTCAAAACTTTCAAAACAAGAAACCCTCTAGGCGATTCTCCAAAGGCCATTTCTTCCCCAAAACATTGGTAAGTGATTCTAACTCAATTTCTTTCAATCTTTCATTACATTTTACAAATCTTTAACCTAAAATCTAAGGTTTTCATGGTGGAATTGGGAATTTTGGGTAGAAATTAGGGATTTGATAAATTGGGGATTTAGACCTCAAATTGAGGTCGGATTCCAAAACCAATTACATAACCGGGCTCGGGGGTGAATGGGTAATCGGGTTTTGGTCCGAGTTTCGGGTTTAGACCAAGCGGGCCCGGGTGTTGACTTTTTCAATAATGACCTAAATTAAATTCTTTACAATCGTGGGTAGTTCTTAAGGCTTAATTTGAATTGTTTGGTTGGTAAATTTCTAGATTCTATTGGTTCGGAGGCTTGGTTGAAAGGGAAAGCTGTGATTGAGCTTTGAGTTTGGCCATTGGAGCGAGGTAAGTGTCGTGGTTAACCTTGGCTTGAGGGATTAGGTCTTATTTGCCTATTTGCTACGTGTTTGAATGTTGGGTATAACATATAGGTGAGGTGACGAGTATCTATGCGTTGTGGTCGGGTCATAGCATGCGAGTGGGTCTTATTCTCGCAACTGTTGCTTTTCTGTGATCATATTATCCATGCATAGATAGACTAGTTAATCATTATGATGATCGTTCTTATCATGTTTACAGACTTTGGTATTGATTGAGTATTGACTCAAAGTTGAGGTTGGCATTGTAGAACCAAATGTTGAAGTAAGACTTGTTCTTGTTATTTCTATCTCCCTGTTGTTATTGTTCATTGTGTTGGTGAAGAAGAGTGTTAATGCACGAAGGGTGATTTCGTGCCATGTATTGTGAGAGTTAATGCATGAAGGGTGATGTCGTGCTATTTTGTGAGTGTTAATGCACGATGGGTGATGCCGGGCCATGTTATGATAAAGTTAATGCACGAAGAGTGATGTCCTGCCGTTTGTATGATTCATATGGTGAGATTGAGAGTAAAAGCACGAAGGGTGATGCCGTGCATTTTCGTTTACTCTGTTTACTTGTTCCTATCTGTTCAAGGTATATCGGTTGATCAAGTTCTTATTACTACTATGATTCTTTATCTTGCGATCCCCTCAGCATGTCCCTTCCCCGATATTACTTGTCTCGTTCTTTCATTGTTGCTAGTAGTACATATACTGTTAAATTGCACAGCTTTATTTGTGGGTGTCTTGTCTTAGCATCGTCACTACTTCGCCAAGGTTAGCTCGACACTTACCAGTACATGGGGCTAGTTATAATGATACTACACTGCACTTCTGTGCAGATTTTGGTTGGTCCCAGTTGATTGAGAGGCATAGCAACTCGTACCGAATCACCGAGACTCAAGGTAGATCTGTCGGCGTTCACCGACCTTGAAGTCCCCGTCTATCTCCTATGTTTTACTGTTTACTTTCGTTCAAACAATTGTATTTCCTCCAGACTTTTACTTGTAGTAAATCTTAGAATGTTCATGAATTGTGACTCCTGATTGGGGTAGTAGTTCATATGTTGAGATTGTTATAAATTTCCGCATTCACTTTAACTCGTTATGGCTTATTTGCTGTTAACTGCTGAAATGTATAATAATTAGCTTAATGATTCTCTAACATTGGCTTGCCTAGCAAGTGAAATATTAGGCGCCATCACGGTCTCGACGGTGAGAATTCCGGGTCGTGACAGAGGCAGTCTTTATTCAAATTAGCAACACAATTACACCACAACTATAATTCTGCAGAACAGAACAAATACAACTTCATATGTCTTAAAGGACATATTATTGATAGTAGAGGATAATTATGCAATTTAGATACTATTTACACTCTAATTTGGCCGCACTTTATCAATATTTGAATGTAAAAGATAACAAAATGCTCTAATTAAGTGTTTTACGTTTTGCAGGAGCCACTCCGAGCTAGGAGGAAGCTAAAGAGTGTTTTGGAGTCAAGATGGAGAATGGAAGACCAATCGGAAGATAGCACGATCGAAAAGGAGAAAGAAGAGCAAGTGCCAGCTCCGCGGTCAGATCCGCGGCCGCAGACAGAACAAGTGCCAAATCTGCGGTCAGATCCGCGGCCGCGGACGGGCTGACGGAAGCCGAGAACCCAGGGTCAACTATGTAATTTCTAGGGCGACTAACCTAAACCTATATGAAGCCTCATTCGTCCAAATGAGAGGTATAGCTGTTTTTAGAGAGATTTGAAGGCAAGAACACGGAAGAAAGACAGAGAATTTCCTTAGAGTTTTTATCTTCTTCTTTTTAATTCCATTGATGATTATGACCTTATATAGTGAATTTTTATCTCTTAGTATGAGTAGCTAAACCCGTCATCCAGGGTTGATGGAACCAATTGTTGGATGAAGTCTTGACTATTTTTTGATATAATTGAACCGTTTTTACTCTATGATTGTTCAACTACGTGTTGTCTTGTGATTAATTGAAAGAGCCCTTGATTAATCGTGTCTAGTTATCTTGTGTTGCTTGAGAAAGAACACTTGATTAGATTGTTGTTGAGAAATACCACTTTCGGGTAAGTTAAGAGATTAATTACTTGAATTTAAAAGCAGGGTTAGAGATAACGAAGCTTTGGTGGGATAATTCTGAGTTGCATAAATTGTTAACTAGAGTAGTTCGAGAGAATGCTTCTAGTAAATTATCGTAATTGATCGAGAGATAATTGCGGTAACCCAGAACTCATATTTCTTATAGAGTGTTACGGCGAGATTATAGCTAACGTGTCAGGAATTAATTCGACAATAGGGGAAATCAATAACCCTAGACCATTTTACCATTGAATTCAACTCTATTCTAGATTATTGCTAGTTTTATTGTTATTTTCCTTAGTTAACTAAATTCTACTCATTATCCATTAAAAATCTTGCATCCGGGGATTGTTTGAGCTATTCATTAGCAGTGTTAAAAGTTATAGTAAATAGGTTAGTTCCCTGTGGGATTCGACTCCGGACTTGAACCGGATTATATTTGCAGCGACCGCTTAGACCTTTTTATAAGGCATAGTTGGGCGTGATCAAATTTTGGCATCGTTGCTGAGGAACTAACGGTTATTGCAACTTGGAAGAATTGCTAGGATTATTAGTT